AAAAGAAAAAAAAAAAAAAAAAAAAAAAAAAAAGAAAAAGGAAAAAAAAAAAAAAAAAAAAAAAAAAAAAAAACATGTTTTTGTTACATTTTCATGATCGACCGCGGACCAAGGTCGCATATTATCTAGCGTGCATTTTCATAGATTAAAGTCACAATAGAACAATAATAAGATGCTTATTTTAAGAATTTCTACATCGTAATTTTTAATTCTCTACATTTTCTTATAAAAAATTTAAATTTTAAAAATTAAAATCATGATTCTAAACTCATAAATTAAACTAAACGTCCCATAAGTAGAGCCTTTACCTGAGTTCAATGAAGTAGAACTTTGCATTTAGAAATGAAATAGCTAGTTACGGCATTTTGGGAGAGTGTAGTTATGCAGCAAAGAGATGAACCGCGTATATTGATTATAATGATAGGTAAAAAATGACAAAGGGAGAAGCTGGGAGTGGGAAAAAAACATATACATAAAAGCAAAATTGCGGGGGGGTAGCGGATATCCGATAAGCAACTCAGCAAGAATGCACGAATCAATGGAAGATCACAAGCACTTTCTACATGTGAGTTACAGTACAGTGAAGATTACTTGAGTCCTTGGCCAATCCAAAATCACAAATCCATCAGCATCTTTTAAGCAGCATTGACAAGGGAAGCGGGTAATAAAAGATGCGTCGCGTTAGCATTTTCTGCAAAGAAATGAATCCGACAGGTCTGGCAAGGACAATCAAGTCCATCTATTTCTTAAATTGCATCCCCTGTGAGCGGAAAAATGTTGAATCTCGTTTGGCAAGAGAATAGGGCTCGTTGATAACGTCCGATTTGCTATTGCTGATCTTGAATTTTCAGTGAAAGTAATTCACTCTCTTGCGCTTGGTTTTTGAACTTTGAACTGTAAGGTAACCACCTTCGGAGTCTATCTGGCCAGAACCTGAAGAAAATTTATATATGCAATCATTCACTCGAGAATGATATATTGTAATTCCCAACACAAAAACAAGGCTTGCCAGAGCTCAACAGTTAACATAAGGAAACAGTCAATCAATAGATAAGAAAACCACATAACCGCAATTAATATAGGTAAGTAAAATTTTAGTCTGATAAACAATTGATAATTTTTATTTTTATTTTTTAGTTATTATTTTTGGCTAGGAAACATTTAATAGCCTCTTGTATCTTGAAAAGGCAACAAACCTAATAAGGTGACACTACTAGGTTAGAAAAGAAGATTGCTAAAGTAAGAGCTACACCAACTGAACTAGAAACCAATCCTTAAAGATCAAGACAAACAAAGCACCATGTATCAGATAATTTCCAGACTACTACGTGGCAGATTAGTGAAGGTATTGATTAAGTATTATGATAGGTAGCACACAAGTTCAACGGACTTGATGATCACATTTTGTACAGATAGCCAGGTCTTGACAGTCAATGTGCTAAGACAGATACTGAATATTATCACCTTGAGGATTTATTAAAATGGAAAAAGAGATCGGTGACTTAAAGAAAACTTACAGGTCCAATCTTTCATAAATTGCTCGTCGCACCGAAGAGTTCAGGCCATAGGCAATTGAGTTAAATAGACCCTAAAGCAAGAATATAAATAAAAATTACTGTGTTTTCAAAAAAGCAATAAAACAAGTCCCCTATTTTCTTGGACATAAATTGGTCCTTGCACTAAAAACTAACAAGATGGATTACTCAATGTCACATATTTAGGATCAGAGGACCACAATTACTACGAGAATTTTTTTTGGACATATTCTAGAAATAATTTCCTTCAATATGGGCGTCCGTTCCAATCAGTCGTTTGTTATGCACAAAAAAGGTGAAAATATAATATCCACAAGTACAACTTTCTATCTGATATAGAAATTCAATGATTAAACGAAAATGTAATATGAAAAAGCATGCTTATTGCTTGCATAATAATCTTAAGTGAAGACTGTCAGTCCCACATAAAATAGATAGCAATAATTAGCTCAGCAATAACAACCATGGTCGTGGTTATAGAATTACCATGAGCGAGGCTGTCCCAACATCAAGAACTGAAAGCCAGAAGATTTTATGACCAGGTTCAATAAAGTCATGAATGCGGTTAATTGTGCCAAAAGCCCATGATCCGATCAGAATAAGTGGATAGTATCCCCATCGATTAAGAGCCTGTGAGAAAACAAACAAATAGATAAGAAAAATAATGAAGCCAAACAAAGAGAAAGTATAACTATTATAGTTATTGATGTTCAAACAGAATCTCTTTATATGGTGGATTCCTGAATTTATATCTCTTCTGTCCATATATGTATGAGCCAAGAGTTCATTGATCTCCTGAACTGACCCTAATAAACCTGTTCAACACCACATACCTTCATGTCTGCTCTTGCATCTGATTGATATGGTCGGTCCGACATTCCCACAGCCATCTGAAATTTGCAAAGCATAAGTACAATCCCAGAAAACAGAACTGAAAATTGTGTCCAGAAAAGAATAACTGGACGATAGGAAGACATACCCGAGTTGCATTGTTCAACATTCGTATCACTTGAAAATACGTAAACCCATTGTAAAGAATTGCACCCCAGAGTGGTATATAAAATGTTATGAAATGGACCACCTGCAGATTAGGCAGGAAAATGAGACTACTACGAGCAAGAAAAGAAAAAAGCAGTTACATCAAAAAATTAATTTAAATGCAGCTGACATATGGAAAAAACTGCATCATTGTCTGGTTATTTGTCCAAAAAGTGCCCAGGTTGTTACAATAATCAAACTGAAAATATTACAAACTTGAGTCCACCTCCTTGCAGCCGGTAGCTGCTAATCACTTGCCTTTCCAGTGCTTGTTTGTGCCCAACACCATGTGCCTAAGTGCGCATGGTTATTCCCAAAAGAGCGTATGACAGTCACAACTAGTGAAGTCCCTGAAAAGAGAAACACTCAAATGAGCTTCAATCAAACCAGAGGCATGTAAAAATGCAAAGTTCAATGCGCCTAACCACAGCAAGAATGGAATCATATTCTTAAACTATAAAAGGACTAGAAGCTAGAGAAGAAACCATAATGAGTTTTTAGGCAACCACAAGCTCGTACCCCAAACATACAAGTGAAACATGGCCTCCAAATCTTCAACATCGGTTTTGTGCCTAACGACAGTACGGTGAAGAGTAAAGGCTATGGTTGTAGTCCATAGGAAAGATGCCACACAGAAGAAATGAGTGGTATAACCCTGAGCATAACAAAAGAACCCTTTTGATGGATCCCTGCACAAGAGTAACATGAGTCATATAAAGCCAAAGTCACATGAAACACATACATATATGAAATACACAACTGCAATTTCTCCAAGTCCAGGAAGCATACCCAACCATGCTGAAGAAGCTGCACATCATATCCTAAAATCCAAAGGAAAAAAAAAACACTTTATTAGATATCTCAAAAATCTCAATTACTCAAAGCATTTCAAATGAACATGAAAGGAATCTTTTCAGGACACATAAGAAGGAAACAAAAAAGTTAGGATTGTTTTCTAATGCCAATTATATGCAAATCTCATAATCAAATACGCAAAATTTCAAACAATTCTTCAAAATTAAATGGTGAAGGTCTCTCCAATCACTACAAAAGATCCAAACCAACGGCATTACACTTCTCATTCATCATTACCGCCAAGAGTTCGAATTGCTCATAACAATACTACGAAATTCAGTTTCCGAAATAGAAATTAGAGAAAGAAAAAGCTAAAAATTCCACTAAGATCTAACACATATTTCTCTTCGGAGAATTTCGTGAGGTAATAAAGAGACTTACGGAGAGGGCAAGATAGAAGACGAGCTTGAAGGAGAACTTGCGGAGCTCTTTGAAGAGGACATAGCAGAGGACTATGAAGCTCGAACCGACGAACGATAGGCTCGCTGCTCCGGCGTTGACAGCCGTCAGGACCCGCCGATCGTGCGCCGTCAGATTCCCGACGACTTGCGCCGTCGCCGACATTTTTCAGATACCGAATCGTTGATTCGTTTCTCCTTTTGAGTGCTAAAACAAATTCAAGGAAATTCCGAAAACCGACCCAAACTTGGAAAATATTTATAAAAAAAAAAACAAAAAGTACAAAAATAAGAAGTCCGAAATCTTGCTCGTACGTTTTATTCTTTTCCCTTTTTTTTTTTCTTTTTCTGGAAATTATTTGCTCCAAATCTACTGTCGCGCCAATATAGGAGAAAGTGCTCAGCCAGAGCAGGAACGCGTTAAGGAACTACAACTTGGAAATCAGAAAGGGCAAAAAAAAAATAATAATAATAAATTAATTTATGATAATCATTATCTATAATCTTTATTAACACTGATCGCACTCTCGTCGCTTTGGCCGAGTGGTTAAGGCGCTTGCCTGCTAAGTAAGTGGGGTTTCCCCGCGTGAGTTCGAATCTCACAGGCGACGAATTGTTACATGTCTTATTTTTTATTTTTTATTTTTTATTTTGGGGATGAAAAACTTTTAGAATCATTTTTACACAACCACAGCTATGCCTATGCATCTCTTTAACCCAAAAAAAAAAAAAAAAAGTGCAGCTATCCATCACTGACAATATGATTTTTATGGGTGAAGGTTTTGACAATTAAAAGCTACATAACTTACGAGACAGTACAAACGCGTGAAAATGTTAGTATCACTATCAAATTTTCATTCGTTTAAAATGACGATGATTAGCAGCCGTCGGTAGATACCACATTAATAATATTTTTTTCTTTGTTTGGTTGAAAAACAAAAAACCAATCAGTTGATTAATATGGTGGAATTGGAAAAGAGGCAATGGAATTATGCAAAATCATGCTATTAATTAGACGTCTCGTATCAGACCACATGTTACACACATTAAAAGTAAAAAATAATAGCATGTAGTGTTTGCTCAAGCATTTGAGCAGAGTATTCACTGGGGAAAAAAAAAATTAAAACAATGAAGCTGGTTTAGACTGAACTCAAAATACTATTAAACCATCTGAAATTGGAAGAGTAAACGAGATTACCCAATGCAATAATGAAGAAGAGAAAAAGAGAAGAAAGGAATGGCAATTGCAAATAAAATACTGTTCAATTCCTCAAAAATAAAGGTAACATAAATGTCTTATTTATAAGAAAGAAATCCTAAAGCTAATATGATTTAAAAGCAAATCTAATTATTAATATTTGAAATAATCTAAATCTTAATGTAAAGATAAACCATCCTATCATTGGAACACCTAAGAGAGCTGTTTTGTCTGGTTTGGTGGAGGGAAGAAAATAGCATCAGAAGTCCTCTTTGATCGGAAGTGCTTCTCCACATCAGATTCCACATTGAAAGAAGCCTCAAGAACCTGAGGAGATAAAGCCTTCCACACCGAAGTCCTTCCAGCCAAATGGGTGAATACCGGGCTGCAAACAGACCAACAACAAAATTTGAAATTAATATGAATGTCATAAGAAAACACAACTATGAAAAAAAAAAAAAAAAAAAAAAAACCCTTTATGGTTTTGAGAAAAATTCACTTACTTTGGAGTTGTGATGATAGAGAACCATTCCAAGCCATCGGGGTCAGCAATCTTAGAGACAACATAAAACCTCGGCACAATGAACAAGTTACCGGCTTTAACAGTTGTTTCCAAGACCCTTTTGCCATCAACACCAACAACTTGGACACGCCCACTTCCCCTAACAACATACGTGACTTGGAGAGCGGAGTCGCAAGAGAATCCGGGCGAGCACATGGCGCTTCCATCCAACCTAACAAGGTCAGCCCCAAGTCCAACCTCACCAACCAAAGGCAGGTTCTTGGTGTTCAACACCACGACCCTCCCGCCGTCTTTGATGTCGACATCCAAAGGCGCCTCCTCGCAGTTCAAAGCGAGTCCCTCGCGGTGCTCCTTCTTTGGCTCCGGCAAATTAAATCCCTCCTGAAGCTTGACAATGCCCTGGCCGGATTGCCGGCCTACAAGAGTCTTTACTACATCCTCTTCCAAGTCCCATGCCCGGCCAACGAACTCGGTGGAGAAGCCGGTGAAAATTCCATTGCAGCCTGTGAGATAAAAGTCTGTGAATTCACCAGCCTTGTGAGCTTTGGAAGTGTCACCCAAGAAGAGAACAACAAGGTCAGTGTCCTCCTTGTTGTACCACCATGTCACGACGCCGAATGGGAGGGCGATGCTGTCGCCCTTCTTGATTGCAACCACCTTCTCTTCTGATTCTGGAAGAACTATTCCAGCCACACCGTTTCCTGAACAGAGCACAAATATATGTTATATTATACTGTTTCTCAGAGAATTTTACTTTGTAAAACTCAAATTCTAAACCAAATTGGTGAAATAAGTTAGGCCTAAATTTGTGTTGTATGACACTCTATGCAAGCCACTAAAAAGCTTATGTGTTGTGTTTTGATCCAATCGTCTTTAATCTTCAAGATATGAAAATTTGAAAAGCAGAATTTACAAGCATGATCAGCTGGTAAAATCGGTTCTCACAATCTGGAAAACTTTACGTAGTATATGAAGCCAAATTTACAAAAAAAAAAGGATTTTACTTTTTTTTTTTGGTGAAATAAAAAAAAAGATTATACTGCAACTTGATATTTTATTCTAAAATATTTTATACTAAAGAAAATATATCACACGAAAGCATCTTGAAGAAGAAGAAAATAATGACCGAAAAGCAAAATAAAAATTTCCATCAATCCCTCGACGCAATAGCATTCACTTTGCTTGTTGTAAAAAAAAAAAAAAATAACAATACTAATAAAGGAATGATACAAATAGTAAAAATTAAACATCATAAACACGATGGTATAATAGAAAAAAATTACTTCAACGATGTACATTGAAAAATTCACCATTGATCATTACCGTATAATTGAAAACAAATATAGATGAAAATAATAAAACAAAACACACATCACTCATATAGATAAATTAAATATTAAGAAGAAGAAGAAAAAGAAGAAGAAGAAGAAGAAGAAGAAGAAGGGGAAAATTTTACCTTGGAGAACGTAAGCAACCTTGGAAGAATCAGAATAACGAGGAAGAGCGAAGCCATTCTTCTCAAGAGCGAGCTTGGCCGCTCCGATATTTCCTTCGCGAAGCATGGGGAGCTCAGACGGAGACCAAGCATAGTAGGCTCCACCGTCGCCTCCGTACACTCTCTTCGACAGCTTCGGGGAAAGATCAATCGACATATTTTTCTTTTTCTCGGGAACGCAAACAGAAAAGTAGAGAGTATGAGAAAGCAAGAAAGTACGAGGAGCAAGAAAGCTACGAGTGAGTTTTAACTTTTACGTGTGTAAACAGTGATATATACAAGGTAACAACGGGAAAGGATTTTGTTTTTGTTTTTGTTTTTTTTTTTCGCCGAATGAAACGGAAAAGGTGTTGAGATAAGATTCCGAATTTGATTTTTGTTTTTTAATCTTTATTCGGATTATGATATTGAAAAGTATATACTATGTCGTTTAATTGATTTAAAATATAGCCAATAGGGGAAGAAATAAAAGAAAATCCAAAACGGGATATGATTTTATCTTTTATATAATGATTAATATTTAATGAGCACTCACCAGCAAATTAACGCTTATCTTCTTTTCTTCATAGATCATCACAATCAAAGGAGATTTAACACCTAAAAAAGAACTCAGCCAAAAAAAACAAAATAAAAGCAACTAAAAAATAAAAAAGAAAATATAAAACGGTGTCGTTTTTAATACTGAACTGCTATAAGTTTACTTCCCTCGTCTTTTCTTTTCTTTCTGGGTTTTATTTTTGACCCTGTTATCTTCACAAGGTGGTTATACATACGTGAGTTTTTAGTTTGCAAGGCAAATCCATGCGTTGGAAGAGTTTAGATTTGTTGTCTTATTTTTCCGTTCCATTAACTCTTTTACCAATACTATTTTGATAACTCATAATTAATTGCTTATTTTGTTTTAGTATTTAATATTTATTATTTGGCCAAATTTTTTTGAATGAATTCTGCCTCAAATACGACACATATTATTAAGGAACAAAAAAATATCAAAGTTATAAACACCTCAAAATTAGGGTTGTACAAAAAAACCGTAAAACTGAAACCGCACACTGACCGGAAAACCGACCGCTCCAAAACCGAAAAATAAGGCGCCACATGGAACCGACAAAGTCGGTTCAATTAACTGAACCGGACTCCTCCATTGCGGTTCGATTTCGGTTGAGCCTTTTATGATTTAGTTATAAACCGAACCGACCGTACTAATTCTGTAAAAAAATTTTAATAATGTTGTTTTTTACATTTCTCATTGTTTTTTCACTTCAGTCTCTCATTCTTCACTATGCTTTTTAATTATGCTTTGGACTTCTTAATTTCTTATGTCAATTTAATGTTTTTTACACTTTGAACATTAGTATTATTTGTTGTAACTTTCAAATTTCTAGTTTGTACTTTAGATTTTAGACATTAGATTTGAATATTTTGTATTTGTGGTATTATCAATTTGGATGTTGTGCTTTGTATTTATTTATTGTGATTACATGCTTGCATACAAGGAATGCGGGTAACCTGATAATTAACTGATAGTCACCATCTAGATTGCTAAAACTAAAAACGACCGAAAATCGAAATTCAGTTAACCGAATCAAATAGTAATTTTTGTGGTTCGGTTTCGGTTTCTGGTTTCTAGAAACTGACACGGTCGGTTCGGCCACCGAACCGACCAAAACCGACGGCTTTTAACCGCCGAACACCCCTACTCAAAATTAGATAAAATGTTAAACCTGTGTAATCCCTATGCACATAGTACTCTAAAGAACTAGAACAATGAGACCATCACATCCTATTACAATTAATAATCCTAAGATTGACAAACTTATCTGCATAACCATTAACTTCACGATACATATGACAAAAACAAAAATCCATTTTCGTGGACAAAGAAATAGCCTTGCTCCACTCATTACAGAATGAGACAGAAAATTCGAGACATTAAATCTAGACTCTTATTGGAGAGATCAAAGATTTTGTATAAATTGGCAGAGTTCAAAAGGAAAAAAAAAAATTCTAATAACTAGGTGAGATGTCATTTTTATTTTTTAATTTATAATTAATACATTAATCTTAGGAAAAATCTAATAAAATATGGAAAAAATAGTAGCTAATAGTTTAGCTTCAGGTGAGTTCATGCCACCCACAAAAAGAGAAGAATTGCCGAATCATATCTTCGGTAAGGATGGAGTTGTCATTGGAATTGCTGGTTTTTTAACAATGCTAAGCACGGATAGATCCCACCTTAATCAGGACTTTTTCTATGTTTGGTTGAAACAGAAAAACGAATCAGTTGATTAATATGGTGGAAATGAGGTAACAATGATTTTTTAACAATGCTAAGCCGTGGATAGATGCCACCTTAATCAAAGACTTTTTCTGTGTTTGGTTGAAACAGAAAAACGAATCAGTTGATTAATATGGTGGAAATGAGGTAATGCAAAGCATGCTATTAATTAGGACGTCTCACATCAGGTCAGATGTTAAACACATTAAATTATTAATTATATATTTGGTAGCAATAAGTTGAAAGATTAAAGAATATTCGATGTTAGGTGCGGCTTGGGAGAAAAATATACAATTGATCATGAAATGGTTGTTGAACTTCTCATTTGGACGTCATGGTTCATGAAGTTGCCTTTTTTTTAAATTTTTTTTTATTTAGCGCGCTAGTGTTGGAATCTCCTTTTCATTTTTCGTCCATTCTCACCATCATCATCAATTAATTAATTAACATGATTTATGTGATATTTCACTATTCATTTAATTAGATTAAGCTCCCACTGCTCATTTTCCTTACAATGCCAGCAAAAAAAAAAATGACAATATAATAGTTACTATTTACTTTCCTTCCAACCCCTCTCTTTGTCTAGAATTTGATTTCTATTACAAACATGATCAAATCAACTAATTAACATAACTTATTCATTCTTGTCATCATGGAATCAATTTCCGATCTAGCCTTTCTCAATCCGCATAATTTTTCGGAAGTTCTAAACTATTTTCGAATTTCCTATCCTATACAACGACGTGTCTGAGTGAGTAACTGATGACATGGTCGAGTTAATCCTGCGACGCCAACCACCCCGGCAGCCATCCCCTTCATTGCTATCTCCTTTCTCGTTCACTAAACACTCCATGGTAACACTTTCATCGGTTGGTGCAACATACACAAAAGGTTCAAAAAACCAGTCGTTTAAGTCCAAAAGAGGCTCCAAGATTGTGACTACATCGCCCATGGTGGGGCGACACTTGGGGTGGTTGCTCAAGCATTTGTAGGCCAATAGAGCTGCCCTTTGAGCACCCTTGGTGGAAAATTGTCCCTCCAGTCTGGGGTCCATAAAACGGTCAAGCTTTTTGGGGTCCTTCAAAAGAGGTCTTGCCCATTCCACAAGGCTCTGTTTACGACTTGGGCGATTCCTGTCTATTGACCGTTTTCCTGTTAGCAGCTCTAGTAGAACTACTCCATATCCATACACGTCACTTTTGGTTGTCAAATGACCTGGATTTTTTGATATCTGAATTGGGTCAGGTTAAAAAAATAATAAAGAAAAAAAAAATGTATTGAACAGTGTTTTTTTGTTTTGTTTTAAGGAAATGTATTAGAACTGGTGGATTTTCAAATTTGACCTGTCATGATGTACTCCGGAGCAGCATACCCCTGAGTGCCAAATATATGTGTGGTAGTTATATGTGTTTCTTCGCCTTCTGGGCCATCCTTTGCTAACCCAAAATCTGAAAGTTTAGGCGTATAGTCCTAAAAAAAAAATAGTACTAATAACAATGAGAATAGTTTTTTTTTTTTTTTTTTCTCCCAAAAGAAAACAGTTATTTTACAACCTTTTTGTACATTTCAAATGTCTATTCAATAGAATAATTAGGTGGTTTGAAAAGATAATATATCAGCCAAACCAAACTCGTTTACAATTAGACTCATAAGATGTTGACAAAAGAGGAGATATAGGAGCTTACAGTGTCTAATAAAATGTTTGAACTCTTGAAATCTCTGAATATCACTGGTTTATCTGCCTCATGCAGAAAGGCCAATCCCTTTGCTGCTCCAAAAGCAATTTTCATTCTAGTTGACCATGGCATGGCAGCAGTGAATCCTGCATAATAACATTAGCACAGACAAATAAATAAATAAATAAATAACTAGATAAAATTGAACAAGATAAGATATAGAGAGAGATAAAAAAAAAAAAAAAATTATAAGTCAATAACTAATTACTTCTGAACAGATGATTTTCTAAGCTGCCTCTTGCCATGTAGTCATACACTAGGAGCCTGTGCTCATCCTCACAACAATATCCAATCAGCTTCACAAGATTAGGATGCCTTAACTGCCCAAGAAAAATTATTTCTGCCTGCAACACAATGATCAAACAAAACATGAATAAAATGACTTTGATCAACTTATTTATTTATTATTGTTACATCTTACTGTGGCCTTGAATATGTTTATATGCTTATACAATAAGGTACCGTTTATTTTGCTAATTCGAGTTTAAAATTTGAGTTTTTTTACAGTAAAAGGCTTTCATAAACAGTTACATCTAACTTTTTTGCTACAGTAAAAAGCTCTCACATAAAATCACATCTCAATTCAAATTAAAAATTCAAATGAACGAACTAAACGAGCCCTAACTAACCTTGCTTGGATGCAAGCATAGCCGCTATTGATAAATTCACACCCGACTATACCTTAAGGTGTAGAGTTTAAAACCCGCACCCCAAATTCAAAAGAAATTAACTAACCAGCCACTCTCTATGGCCTTGCAGGCCATCCAAGTCTAGTAGTTTGACAGCAACAGGCTGAGCCACCAAACCAGGCCTAAGCTTTTCGTCGACGAATCCCTTGTACACCGGTCCAAACCCGCCTTCTCCGAGCAAATTACTCCATGAGAAGTTGTTTGTTATGTCCTTTAGCTCTGCTAAGGAAAACACGTGCAGCTTTGAGCCGATTAGAGAATTCGAGAGATCGTCTGCAAACAGCGGCGAGCTGGGATCGCTCACATCTGAAATAGACAGCCTCTGGAAAGAGATTTGCTTTGAGACCTCTTTTTTTGGTTCCAGCACTTGGTTCCGAGTCTTGCAACAGCCCGGGATTATCCATTTCCATGTGATCTTCTCTAAACTCATCTCTCTTATTGAGAAATATATATCGAAAATAAATAAATAAATAAATGAAATGGATACAAGTAGAGAAACCGGGACTTCAAGAAAGAAGAGTTTTGGGAAATTAAGAAAAAGGTTAAATGAAATGGTGGAGATGTGCCTTCGAGTGAAGTGTATATATGAAGGCTTAGACCTCAATCCTCACAGTTTCTTTCACTCACCAACCACTCCCATTGTACTGATAGTCTTCATCTATGCACATATAAATATATTAATCTTACGTAAATATATTCAAACAAAAACTTTGGTTTAAGGCACTGGCATGTATGTTAGAAAGTTGAAATGATTTGCCTAATTCTTGACTTCTTCTTCTTTAGCCTATTAGAAAATAAAAAAAAAAAAAAATTAAAAAAAAAAAAAACGAATAAGAAGTGTAACTTGAGCTCTAATTCCCTTTTATTCAATGCACTCAAAGACACAAAAATTATTAGATATTATCTAATACATATGTTTGATATTGAGGCAGTCCCACCAGTAGAAACAGCGATGGAAGATTTATGAGAATCTTTGATTGTTCTATTTATTTATTTATTTGAATAAATATTTCTTTCAGAGTTTGGTAATCCCTTGTACAAAGAAAATTCATTGAAGCGTTACAAGGTCAAGATCAGACCTTGCCACACCGAACAAGTACCAAAGTTCTTTAGAATTCCTGAGATTGCAGTACGCATATCGCAAATGACATACTATCGCAAATGACATACGTACAAGTACAAAGAATCCTTCTAGATAACTCTTATTAGTTATTTTTTTGCTAATGAATTTTTATTAGTTATTTATGCATCTGTCTTTTAGCCAATCTGAAAGATTTGTTTGCGTATAAAATAAACCAGAGTGGTACATCAATGAAAATAATATAATAAATTTTCCTCTTAATATTTACATTTGATTTGTGAGTTTTTCATTTTGACTGGCACGAGAAAAACAGAGGAAATAGATTTATTTAATTTTTTTTTTTTTTTTTTTACCAAGCTCACTTAATGAAACTACTGTACCGTAGTCTTAACATGAGAAAAAGGTAAAATGGTATATTTATATATGTGATAACAAAAAACTGTTAGAAGCCGTTCGTTTCGCTGATTCGAGTTTAGAATTCGAGTTGAGATGTGATTTTATGTGAAAGTTTTTTATTGTAGTAAAAAAGTTAGATGTGACTGTTTGTGAGAGTTTTTTACTGTAACAAAACTCGAATTATAAACTTGAATCAGCGAAACGAACGAGGCCATATGAAACTAGTCCCTTTTCTATTGGCAGTGTCATTGCTCAAAAGAAAGTCAAAAGGGAAGGGTGAACAAATCAAATCTACCAACAACTACCTTATAAGTCTATGATGGAAATTTTACCAAACACCACACATATATAAAACTCTTGGGATAATGATACTTCATGTAGTACATGCATCAACAACGTTGCTGAGTTTTCCTTTTTTTTTTTAGAGTTTGCAATGAACTTGAGTTCATCTTTGTGGGCCACGATGAACCAGAATCTGTAACGCATTACCATCTTTTGCTTAACTACAACTCACTTGGTAAATCAGAGAAAAAAAAAAATTTGAACATGAAATAATCTGTAATAGTTGTTGTAGGCATAATCGAGCGTGTAAACCTAATTATATCCTTCCTCTAATGTTGAGGACTTTGTGATCGAGAGTTCAAATCCCTCACTCTCAGTAAAATTATTAAAATGACGTATTGACGACTTGATAATAATTCTCGAATCTAAAGAATTTTAATTTTCAATCGTTGATCAGTGTAAATTTTGATCAAGTCTCTTAGAAGAATTTATAATGATTAACGATTGAAAAATAAAGAGCTACATTATTACATTTTTCATTACATAAATTTACAGTCAAAAGTGCCAGCATACTGCCGAACTATTCTTTCTCTCTGTATAGTCTGTTTAGCAATAAAATTCAAATTTGCATTAGGTGAACAAAGAACTTCTCCTGGGTCTCGTCATGCTCCTGGCATGGATTCAATGTTCCTCGTAAAAGGAAGAACATTTCTTTACAAGTGGATTAAGTAAAGCTGGCACGTGTTTAACACCTCAACCCAACTGGGTGATTTCCTCGTGTCAATCAGGCATTTTATTTATTTATTTATTTTGAGTTAATCTCACAAATAGTCCTTAACGTTTATCCTTAATCTCACTTTGACCCTTAATCCTTAACTTTTAAAACGTCTCACAGTTGGTCTTTAAAGTTTTATTTTATTTCAGTTTCGGTCATTTTATTAGCTTGGTATTAAAATTTAACAAAATTTGTGAAAATTAAGTATAAATCAATAATATATAAAATTTTAGGGCTAAAATAATGCAAAAAAGTAAAAGCTAATTTCTACCTGTAATCTTAAAATTTTAACTATTCTAATTTTAGTATCTAATTTACACATATTTCATCAAATGTTAACGCCTAATTAATAAAAAGATTGAAACTGAAATAAAATAAAATCTCAATGATTAACTGTAAAATATTTAAAAATCATGAATCAAAGTAGATTCAGAACAAACCTGAGGAACTATTTGTAAAACTAAATAATTTATTTTTTGAGAGAGCCTTTTGATTAATTAAAAAGGGGCAACTTTGAACTTGAGTGTAAGAAATGTAGTGTACGAATGAAGCAAAAATAAAAATGCACTGTACGATCTCTCCCTCCCCAGAGATCGGAGGTGAATGAACTATTATTGACTTTGATTGAAATCAAGGAAATGATGTGAGCTAACCAAACATTTTTATTGTATCACGCAAAAATCAAACGTTTTATTTAATTCTCTCACGCGGAAACCTTACTTAATAATTTTATTTGTGAAAATAGGAAATATTTTATTATGAAATTGGTAGGGGTCTGCGCTTGCCTGGGAATTCATCTTAGGAGACGTGCCTTCGCATTTTAAATTTTAAATTTAAATTTTTTTGTCTAATTTTAGTGTGTCAATTAGTATTTAAAAAAATCATATCATGTCACGTTGTGTAAAAAAAATTTAAACTTCTTATTAACTAACTCTATGCGTATTATAAAATGATGTGACATGATATGATTAATATTTGATTAGACACTAATTGATATATCAAAAATTAAAGTTATTAAGGTCCCGTTCATTTCGCCGATTCGAGTTTTACTACAGTAAAAAGCTTTCAGAAACAGTCACATCTAACTTTTTTGCTATAGTAAAAAGCTCTCACATAACATCACATCTTAACTCAAATTAAAAACTCGAATCAGTGAACTAAACGGGCCCTAAGACAGTATACATAATTTTTGATTGTTGTAAATGGATACTATTGTTGTATAACATAGTTATATATTTATTTTTATTATTTTTAATTTTGGATTTTTCAGCGTTTTTAATTTTTTTCTCTTTTCAATGGTATTTTTGGTCATTTCATTCATCAACATCTTAATGGGAAAGGATATGTATTTGCAAAGACAAACAACTAAAGGTATAGTTTTTTTTTTTTTTTTAATAAGAACCTAAATGCATGTTTTATAAACAACCTGAAACACAGGATATAAACAACAACCACCCATAAAGATATGCATATTAATATCTTTGTTTTAGTTTTAGGTCGGTGGTGAGTTAACGTGTATAAATTTCTTTCCCGGCCTTCATTTTTGTGAACAGTAAAATAAAATTTGTCACGTTGAACCGAATCTATTTACTTTGATATCAATCAAATTTCTAGAAATAAACAGCTTCAAATGACTAGAATTCAGCACCCGATCAGTACAATGGTAAGTTGTATGTAATTAATGAGATTGTTTATCATATAACTTTTTTTTGGTGGTTTAAACAAATAGTTATAAAAAGATGACGTGTCCCATCAAAATTATAGATTGACAAAATATTCTTGAGTAACACGCGGTGTATTATAGATCCTGTTTTTTAGGTGATACTGACTCAAATCTAATATATTAGTCGGGGGATTTTTAATGTCATGACAAACAATTAATGTAAATGAAATTATTTTAAAAAGATAGATAAAATGGAATTTTTTTTTTTTTTTGCTGAATTAAAAGAAAAATCAAATCAAATTAGAGATGACATTTCTTTTCATCTGATGAGAAGAGTGATTATAGCACAAGTGTAGTAGTTCCTAACATAAATGCCAACTATGTGTCATTATCAAAATTAGCATCACAGAACCAATAAAACCAAAGTGGGGACAACATTTGATTCCAATCCAACAGACCAGACACAATTCGCTTTTCCAATTTAATTCGCGCAACCTTTTTCCTTTTTTTTTAAAATAATAATAATTTACACCCATTCAACACTGCGTATACATGGCAAATAATTATTTGGCTACATGTTTATTTCTACAAAAAAAAAAAAAAAAAAAGTAAATAAGAGGGCGGGTCCGTGTTTTAATAATGACAATTGATTTTTTAATAATCAAAATGACAAAAGATTTACTTTAGCTGGTTAATCACAGAGCCCACCTTCTAGCCGAAAGATGTATTCATAATCTTTCATCAATAAATTAAGATAATATATTATTTTATTAACGTGTGTGTAAATATCCTCACTTGGGTCACTATTATTATTATTATTATTATTTAGATAATGTCATTATTTTTTAAATTGTATCAGTTAGATCTGTTTTTCAGTCAGTGTCACAAGTGGTGTTATAATATTGGTTGTGACATTGATGACAGTTAAGTATTTCAGATTGTGTATTCAGTAAATAAATTTGTAGAGACTATGTAGAAAGATAATAATGATGCAGAAACAGTAAAGACACACGAAAATGGTATCGCAGTTCGGTGCGCACACCTACTCTGCGGGGCCACGCCCAGACAGTGATCGATCCACTAAGTTTAAAAGATTACAAAGGACCGAATGGTCTTACACACTCAACGACTCCTTCCTTGACGATGTTGCCGTTGCCTAGAATCTCCTTAGGAGGCTTGTTCAACGAGCACCATTCGACTTGACGGTTTTCTCCCGAAACCAAAGAAATTTTCTCCCGAAGAACCAACTCAAAAGTGTTCTAACAATCCGTCGCAACACATCAAGCGACTCTTAACATTACAATCTCATACTCTCATGAACACACACAACTTTTTCATTTTCAGCACTCTTTTTTACACAGAATACATTCAGCCCAATACCATAAAAAAACACCATTGCTGCCGTTCAATATCTAATACAAAAAAAAAAAAAAAAACCTCCAGCCTAAAGAATTTCCAGCCATTAATTCCCAAAGTCCACTCTTCAATCTCAGCAATCAACTCTTTTGATTTTCAGCCCTTAAACCAGACAACCAGACTTTCCTTAAAAGGCTCACCTATTTGCTGTATCAGCCAAGCTTCTAGCCAATTTGTAACCAATTTACCAAATATAGTTTTCAACCAATTTGTCAAAAATAAACCAATATAAAAATGCACTAATAGTATCACGTCGTATTTTATTTTCTCAGTAACAATACACACCCCATTAATAAAATGTTATAATACATTATGAAGCTAAACCGTAATTTGTTAAGATAAAAAAGAATAAAATAGTAATTCTAATTTTATGAAAACATATACTTTTGAAACATGTTTATAATAAATTTTTTTATACCCTGTAATAAATATTGTTAAATTAAATAAAATATTAACTGATAAATTCAATATAATTCAATTTATTACTAGATATGCAAAGAAAATTGTCGAGTTAGATTAGAATTTTTGAATTTGATTATATAGTTATCTATTAGGATATAGTTTATCTTTATTTTTAGTTTTAAGTTATGATCATATTTGTCGTGTAAGGTTATTTTGAATTAAGTTAAGTTTATCTTTTAGGTTCTATAAATACATTATTAATTGTAACTTTATTCGTATTTTATTGACTGATAAATGGATATCGAATTTTCAGTTTTCCATCCTTATGTAATTCTTCTATCTTGGTTTTATTTCTCTTTCTTGGTTGATTTTTAAAAAAAATTAACAACCATTTAGCCCTTCCATTAATCAATAATTTAACACATTGGCGGGTCTCTTCCACTTGATGAGATCATGAGAACGTAACATTGTTGTTTCCTATCCAGAAATTAGAAATAACGGTCCGTCGAAGCAATTAGCAGTTGTCAACAACCCTTAATTACCAAACTACCCTAAACTGCTAAAAAAAAGCTACTGACGTTTACGTAATTTCATCTAAAACAACAGTGCTCCTCCTAGCCTCTTAATTTTTCCTTCCCCTATTCGTTCATCGTCTCTCAAACTAGGGAGAAAGGAAACTGTAGAAACCGTTTTCCCACGAATTTTCCACCCTCCCAAACACCAATTCACTTCTTTCCCCTTCCATGAACGCATAGCAAAGCCTCAAATATTTTCTCTCTCTCTATCTACAAAACCAAGACGACAATGCTGCCGTCGTTTCTCAGCCCCGTCGCCTTGTACGGCAGCTACCTCCGCCGCTGCTTCTCCGCCGCGGGCCTCTCTCCCCAAACCCTAGACATCGACGACGAAACCACTATGCACTTCTGGGGGCCCGACCCGGCCCGATCAGGCGGCGCCGGAGGCAAGCCGGCTCTGGTCCTGATCCACGGCTTCGGCCCGGTGGCCACGTGGCAGTGGAGAAGGCAGGTGCAGTTCTTCGCCCCCAAATTAGACGTCTACGTCCCCGACCTCGTCTTCTTTGGCGAGTCGACAACCAAGTCGGCGGAGAGGACGGAGGTTTTCCAGGCGGCGGCGGTGGCGAGGCTGATGGAGAGAATAGGGGTGAAGAGGTACAGCCTGATGGGGACGAGCTACGGCGGGATAGTGGCGTACAATGTGGCGAGGATATGGCCGGAGAGGGTGGAAAAGGTTGTGATCGCGAGCTCGGGGGTGAACATGAGGCTGAGAGACGGCAAGGCGCTGCTGAAGAGGGCGAATCTCGAGAAGACGGAGGATCTCATGCTTCCGTCCACCGCGAAGCAGCTGCGGACGCTGCTTAGACTCGCCGTGTTTAAGCAGCCTAATGTGATGCCGGAGTTTGTCTTGAATGACCTCGTCAATGTAAGTCTTTCTTTCTTCTCTTTTTCCTTAATAAAATACTATTGGCAAATTAACACAGGTGATTAGATTTTAGCGATATGCTTTATGTTTTGGGATGCAAGTAATTTGATAAATGAGATTGTACTTGGGATGAAGAAAATACTTATTTTTGGTAAATAACATATAACCTATTTATGAACTAAAATTAATTGATATTTCATGTTTACATAGTGATTTTTACAATTCTTTTAGTAACAAATCAAGGAAAGGGGGAAAAAGAAGAAGAAGAAGAAGAAGAAGAAGAAGCAATTTACTATAGTTTCTTATTTCAATTGTTAATGTTTTGCTGAATCGGAGAATAAATGAGTAGAGTAAAAGTTTCACTAATTTTGTGGAAATTCTTTTTTGTCTAACATCCGTCCTCCCTAAACTTATTACAAATATTGTCTTCGTTTGGAATTTCTATTTTCATCACATTGGAGTCTCGAGAAGAAATAAAAGGAGGGTTCATATATTTGTTTATTAATGCGTAACATTGACAGTCCCTAAACTGATTAGAATGCCCAAATTAAAACAAAATTTTAAGTTTAGGGATGTGGGTTGAACAAGTTGTAGTTTAGTGATAAAAGGTGAGACGATTCCCTACTCAGAGAACATAAGCTTTTTTATTTTTTTCTTCTTTTTAAAGTTTTTTTTTTCTTTTTAAAGTTTTTTTTAGCTCTATTTGTTTAGACTTTTGAGAGCTACTCATATCGCCAGTTTAATAATTGTTGATTTTTAAGAAATTACTGTTAACTATATTGAAAGAAGAAGTATTGTAATCTTAAAACTGCTGTTAGTGAGGGTACTCTAGGAATTATGAAATAAAATAGATAGTCTTTTGGGTATTTAAAAATACTTATTAAAGAGAGAGAGATTGATTCCCACATAAGCCAAAAAACTGAAGTTACATTTATCTAGATTCTGATTTAAAAATACTTCTTTCGTAAGTACTTTTGGAGTTTTAGATCGTTTACTTTACTATTTGAGTTTTTAATTTAAATTAAGATATGATATTTTTTGAGAGTTTTTTATTATAGTAAAAAAAAATATATTTTTTAAAATTTTTTTACTGTAAAAATTTAAAATTAAAAACTCGAATCGGTAAAATAAACTAAACACAAAAACAACCAAAACTTATTAAAAAAGTGCTTTTGGCTGGTTTAAAATCAATACCAAAGATAACCTAAGCCTCGTACGTTCCTAGAAGTTCGAGGAAATTTCTTGGGTGATGACGTTGAAGGAGTACTTTCTGATTTGTTTGCTTCAATTTGAGTGATTGTGTGTTTTTTGGACCATGTTTTTTTATATCTGTAAGTACATATGGTTACTAGTTAGGTGCACTTGTCAGGACTATAAGTAGCAACCTTCATGGGTAGTTAAACCTCAGTGTCTCATTCTCCTTCTACCCTAACCTCTCAGCTTGTTTTAGAATTTATAGGTCGTTTATTAGGTTGGTTGGCATACATGAAAAGTTCAAAACTTATACATTGGTTTAGATTAAAATAAAAACCCCTTAAACAACAGGGTTCTACTCGGCTGATTGTCATTTTAAGTTTGAGGTCATGTTCATTTCACCGATTTGAGTTTTGTTACAGTAAAAAGCTATAAAAAATAATTACATCTAATTTTTTTGTTAGAGTAAAAAGTTCTCACATAAAATCACATCTCAACTCAAATTAAAAACTCAAATCAACGAACTAAATGAGTCCTTAATATTAATTAGGCCCCGTTCCATCTAATTAATGTTTGCATATTAGTGGGAGGTTTCTGAAGTAGGTTCTAAAAAAGAACTACTAAAAATGTTCTGTTTTCCGGCGTTAAATCTAAATTGCTTGTTTTGTATAATTTTTTATTTTAATATAATTTTAATTATATTTAAATTTATTAATTAGAAATTAATTTGATCGGTGGAGAGGCCTAATTGGTTAATAGTTAGAAATTGACTTAAATCATGGCAATGCTGTTATCATTATTCATCCACGTGTGAGAAAAGGAAGACATCTAATACAATTGTTAAGCTCTTATAAATCATGTCTTGACTTAAACGAGAAGAAAATTGTCAAAACTTTGATATATGTCACGTTGGTGTACATATAAATAATGTTTTGCAGAAATTGTACTCCCAAAAAAGGAACGAAAAGATGGAACTTCTTAAAGAACTGACCATAGGACGAGATGACGAGACAAAACTTTCTCCTCTCGACAAGGTATTTTTATTTTGAATTTTCCATTTTCTGTAGCTGGGTTTCTATTACATGCACAAATAATAATAGAATTCATACATTTAGGGGGCGTTTGGTAGAGGGATTCGTTCTCTGATTCGAATCATGATTCGTGATTTGTTACAGTATTTTCTCTCATAAAAAATACACGTAAATCGAAAATAATTCGAATCACATAATTTGAATCCTCTAACCAAACGAACTCTTAGATAATTTATTTATTATTTACATGTTATTTATTCATCAGCCAATATTATATTGTATTGCCATTACACAGGACGTGCTGATAGTATGGGGAGACCACGACATGATATTTCCCTTCGAGATGGCTGCTGAGCTCAAAGAGTATGTACTCGCTCCTTAGTCATCAAATTTATCCCCAAGAACCCAACTACGTATTTATTTATTCTTTCTTATACAACACGTGATCGAACCCGCAATCTCTTAAACTCTTCTCGGTGCCACTAAACTAGGCAGTCTTACTACTTATTAATTAATGTGCTATGATATTTTCTTGGCTGGTTTATTTATTTTAACATGTGACCCAACTTGTTTATCGATTAGGTACATACTGTATTACCATGACACCTTCTTTCTCCTTCATTAGGGCACACAAATATATATATTATATAAATTCCTGCAAATAATATTTTCTTAAACTTGTTTGAAATATTACATGTTTTAAAATTAAGAGTTTCTCTGGTAGTTCTTAAAAAAATAGATTATTAGTAGTTTCTTACTTTTCAGTCGTTAGATATGTGTCAAAATATGTGTGTTCTGCATACTTTTTTCAATCTGATGTGATTTTGACCAGATCCAACAATTAAAAATTGAGACTACTGGTAGGGCGGCCTACAAGAGAAAGTCTCTTTAAAATATTTTGAAGTAATTATTTACTGGTAAACAATTTATTTTAAAATATATTATTAACTTCAAATATTTTAAAACCTACTATATACTTTAGAAATATTAAAAAAAAAGTTGCTGCTTCCCTGTTTCTCCCACATATATAATGAAGTTTGCTTACCAATATTAATAGACATCTATTTTTTGTTAGGATCGATGTAATATGTTTATAGGAACATTAGAATTTTGTTATGGATAGATTGAATGGCTTATAATTAATACTGCTTACTAATGCAGGCTTCTTGGGAAGAAGGTGAGGCTGGAGGTGATGAAGAACACAGGACATATACCCCAAACTGAAAAACCTGCATTGTTCAACGAGATTGTTAACAAATTCTTGTGTGAGGCCTCGTGATTATGTACTTATATTTTGGTCAAATTATCACTAATGTTGAACTCTATTAAGTGGGCATAAGTGAATGTGATTGTCTTCACTCTGGGGTTAGAACATGAGTTGAAAATGATCTGTCGTAAATTTTTTATGTCTATTTTCTTAAATAAAAAAACGACATCGTTCCAATGTATATGTATGTATACAGTAATAGTATGCGTACATATACACATCCATGAATATATACCTTAACTTAAGTTTTACGTTTCAAAAAATAAAAATAAAAGTTTGAAACAAGAAATTACATACTTCTAGGTCAAATTCATAACCTAAGCGACATGAAATGACAATCAAACACAATGTGATGCACAACGGGAACGACATGCCAATACTTCAATATTTTTAAATTTAATACTTTCTGTTTTTGACAATCAAACACAATGTGACATAAAAAATTTTTAAAATTTTTATACCTGTTTTTGAAAATTTTGAATTTAATACTTTCTGTTTTTAAAAATTTCATGCCAATACTTCAATATTTTTAGAAATTTTTTTTTTGATACCTCAGAGGTATTTTTTACGATACAAATTATCTTTATTGTAAAAATTTATCCATTAATCAAAATTTTGAATAAAAAAAAGATTTTAAAAATTGTTATACCTGAATCTCGTCCATGTCTTGACGAGTAAGTTCGAGTTCAATCTAGTGAAGAAAGCTCCACGGACAACTCTGTTGCGCCAAATTCAGCTAAGTATCGGTTCAATCCTGAGTATGTTGCATGGATGCGATATAATCAAGCCTTAATGGCGTGGCTTCTAGCGTCGATCTCTGAATTGGTAGGGCATGTCGTTCGTTGCACCAGTTCTCGTCAGGTCCGGCTCACTCTTGAGCAATTAGCTACTGAAAATTCCAGAGCACGTCTCCTTCAACTCCGATTTCAGCCTCAACCGGTTAAAAAAGGTTCAATGAGTATCGACGATTATGTTCTCAAGATGCGTAGTATAGTGGACAATCTCAATGCTACTGGTCAAGTGATTTCTAATGACGATCTGGTTCTGTGCATCCTCGGTGGTCTCGGATCTGAGTATGATCCAGTCGTGGTTAATCTCACTTCGCGAAAATGAGTTGATCTCACTTTCTGAAGTTCAATTCATCCTCCAGAGCTTCGAAATAAGACTTAAATCTCTGGCTGCTTCTTCGGTTGTGGATCTTTTGACTTCATCTACTAGTCTTGCTGTTAACAATAAGAAGGATTGGGGGTTCTTCTTCTAATGGTGGTGGTCTGCACTCTCAGCCCTCTCGTGGTGGTCATTTTCACTCTCGAGGAGGTCGAGGTGGTCGTGGTCACGGTTCTCATGGAAATCTTCGGCCAGTTTGTCAAATTTGTGGCAAGATTGGTCATCTTGCTCCTCGCTGTTACTCGAGGTTCGATTACAGTGTTACTGGCCCCACTACCTTCTCTCAAGCTTCTACAAGCTCAACACCACCTCCTCAGGCCTTCATGCCTCTCCAGCGACTGTCAACGATCCTTCCTGGTATGTTGACAGTGGCGCCACAGATCACGTTACTGCTGATCTTGCTAATTTGAGTCTTCAGTCCGATTACAAAGGCCAAGGGAAATTGACTATTGGTAACGGAACTTCTGTTATGAATCTGATATGTGTGTCTAAGTTTACTCGTGATAACAATGTTGTTGCTGAGTTTTTCTTTTACTGTCTGCTAATTAAGGACAAGAACACAAGGCAGGTTCTTCTCAGTCGGACTTCTAAAGACGGCGTATCATTTGGATGTTCCTGTGCTTGGTTCTGGTGCTAATCTCTCTTTTGCTTCTTCAGTTGATATTGCTACTTCTTCTGGCACTCAACAGAGGTGTTCTTCCTTCATTACCTTGAGTAAACCTGTTAATAAATGTAAGATTTTTCAACCAGTAATATAGCATCTACACCTACTGTTGGTACTAATTCTGCCAATTTATGGCATAAACGACTTGCCCATCCTTGTTCTAAGGTGTTAGGTTAGGTCTTTTCTCGTGTACATGTATCTGCTTCAAGTATTAATAAAATGGACTTTTGTTCATCATGTCAATATGGTAAAGTCTGAAACAGTTTCTGTTTTTCTTTTGTTTCGAATGTTGGATTTCTTTCTCCCTTAAGTTTCGGTAACCAATCGAAACGATCCTCAGAACGTGGTCTATTCTATTTCCCCACTTAAGGAACGTGATTAGTCACGTTCATCTTCAGTTATCCACCATTGTCCACGTTCGGTGCACGTCCGAGAAAGACTTTGTGATGGGAAGAGTCTATAAAAGAGGACATAGCACATTGGTTTTGGGACCCTAAGCCTACTATCTCCATTCAGTTAGAGTAGACACCATCAAACGAGAGATTGAAGAGGTTTAGAAGAACCAAAAACCCGAGTTTTCTTTTCTTCCACTGAGAGCTTCAATGGCCGGAGGTGTTTATCTTGATCCGTTTATTTCAATTCCGCATTGATCTAATTGCCATTTAGGATCCTTAGGAGCATGTTTAGATCATTCAAAAATTCCAGCATTTGGTATCAGAGCCTTAGTTTACCTCTGCCTCGTCTCTTCTCGTTCTGCTTACGTTAAATACCGTGAGAGAAAATTTTTTTGGCAACTCTTGATTTTGACGTTTTTGATGGAAACTGAGATTAGGAATCATTGGGTAATCAAATTCCTATCATTTCTGAGTTTTAAACATCAATTTTGGTCGTCAAAATCTAGAGAAAAAGTCGGGTTTCAGTTCGCGTTGAAACCGGGTCAAAATAGACCCGGCTAGAGGTTGAAGAAGCTTTAACAGTGTGAAAAAACGACATGTCGTTTTGCCTTAGGGTGTATAAAACGACATGTCATTTCTGTTGAATATAAGTGCAGGCCAGTGGAAAAAACGATGTGTTGTTTTGCCCTTGAGTATATAAAACGACATGTCATTTTTCTGTTAAGAATTGTGCAGGCCATTACCAAAACGACTTGTCGTTTTTGATGAAGCAAAAAAAAAAAACTCCCGAAAATTAAAAATAAAAAAAAATCATAAATTAAGTATATATGGGTATTTGGTAGATGTTCACCCATTTAATGGTTTTTATGGAATTTTCATAAGTAAGACATATAAATGAAAGGTTCATTAATTTTTATGCGTTTAATGGATTAATTTGGATATTTATGTGCATATATTATTTATTTATTTGCAGTGCTAGTACATTGATATTCAAATATTTTGGGTTAATATTGCATATAGTTTCAAGCAATTAAATATAAACCTTTATGATTTATTAATGTTAAGTAATCCATATAATTTTAATTAATTAGAGAGTAGCCACAACATTTTTATTTACTTAAAATTATATATATTAAATGTTTCGGGATTACATTATGACATTAATTGTGATTAATCATCTGTAATATAATAAATTTTATCCCACAGGAATTTTTATTATATTTGTATGATTAATTAGAATAGAAAATTAAATTAAATTTCTTAATTTACCCACAAGAATTAGGAAATAAAGCATAATTTGATAGTTTTATCATAAGGTCGCAGATGGATCTAATTGAGTTAAAACTTTAGCCCACAGGCAAGTTTTATGTCACTAGATTCATAGAACATGATTTACATTGGTAAAACATGATATAAGTTTATGAGTCTCAAAATTTTAATTATAAGCATGTGTTTAATTTTATGCAGTTATGCAACCTGCGAATTTCTCTGATATGAAGTGTGACATTCCTAAACTGAGGGGTGATAACTATAAGATGTGGAAGGAGAGAGTCTTTCTTCATTTAGGGTGGATGGACATTGATTATGCTATAAGAAAAGACGAACCAGTCATTACTCCGACCAGCACTCCAAATGAAATTGCTTTTTATGAACAATGGGAGCGATCTAATCGCCTCAGTGTGATGTTCATTAATACCAAGATCTCTGCTGGCATTCGTAGTTCAGTTGATCAGCATACCAATGTTAAGGCATTACTGAAGGCCATTGATGAACAGTTTGAGTCTTCAGATAAGGCACTTGCTAGCACCCTAATTATGAAGTTTTCATCCTTAAGACTCACTACTGTGAGAGGGGTGCGTGAGCACATCATGTAGATGAGAGACATTGCGGCTCAACTGAAGACACTTGAGGTTGAAATGTCTGACTCTTTCCTTGTGCACTACATCCTGAGCACTCTTCCACATTAGTACGGACCCTTCAAGATATCCTACAACACACATAAGGATAAATGGTCAATCAATGAACTTCTGACCATGTGTGTTCAGGAAGAGGGTAGGCTGTCAATGGAAATAAGAGAAAGTGCATTGATGGCAATGGAAGGAAAGGATCAGAATCAAGCCAAAAGGAAGGGGAAAGGTAAAATAGCGCCCCAAGGTGGAATCAAGAAGGAATCCAAGTGCTTTTTCTGCAAGAAGAAGGGCCACATGAAGAAGAGTTGCACTAAATTCCAGAAATGGCTTGAGAAGAAAGGTATACCAATCTCATTTGTCTGTTATGAATCTAATATGGTTGATGTTATTTATAACACATGGTGGATTGATTATGGTTATACAATCCATATTTCAAATACCTTGCAGGGTATGCGAAACCTAAGGAAGCCAGTGGAAAGTGAGCAGTGCATTTATTCAGAGAACAAGATGCGCTCACATGTGGAGGCTGTTGGAACATGCAGTTTAGTTTTAAGTGTGATTTTATTTTGAATTTAGAAAAGACATTTTATATTCCAAGTTTCTCTAGGAATTTAATTTCAGTTTCAAGACTTGTACCTTTGGGATATTCCTTTAATTTTAATGAAACTTCTTTCAATTTGTTTTATAAATCTAATTTTATTGAAAATGGTACATTATTTGATGGTCTTTTCTCTATTAACTTGTAAAATAATATCACTTATAATGCTATGCATGTTCACACTTGCACTAAAAGAAGTGTTATAAATGACAATTCCTCTATGTTATGGCACCGGAGACTAGGGCATATCTCCATTCAAAGGATTAAGAGATTGGTAAATGAAGGAGTACTCAGTACTCTTGATTTTACAGATTTTGAAACTTGTGTGGACTGCATTAAGGGAAAGCAGACTAACAAATCCAAGAAAGGTACAAAAAGGAGTACAGACATATTAGAAATCATACATACAGATATTTGTAATCCAG